CAAAACTCAAAATCATAAAAGAGATCAGGCTTACTGGTCTGACAGAGGCTGGTGAAACCCACAAGACTATGGACCCTAGTCACCCTTCAGGCCTGGAACTGAACTCACTTCCATGGCTTACTGTGGTGTAGTAAATTACTTAGTGTGGCTTTTCTACCCATAAGTCTTTGTAAACTGCAAGGTGAGATTTTCTATGAGCAACTGAGGAGATCCTGATTGCTGAAGTTGTCCACCTGGAGTATTTCTGTTGGGAGTGGCACAAAACAATGTTCTGGGAGGTTCCCACTCTCCCTCAGGTGCTTAGAGTTCTGATGCTATGATTGGCTAGTTTGACCACTTGGCCGGGCTCAAAAGGAGGCCTCCTAAAGTCTGAATGCTCTCTGACTGTTGGTTGAGGAAGATGTGCTGCTGAAAGAGACACGCACTCCTGAGGCATGTGCTGCTGGGAAAGAGATGCGAAAGACACGCATTGCTGAGTGAGACACCGAGGGACACGCACTGCTGGGAGAGAGACTGTGAGAGACTGCTGGCTGAGGGATGGTGGGCTGGGAGAGAGACTGAGCCTTCTTCCTGAACTTGAATTGTAGCCTGGTGCTTCCCTAATAAACCCCATAATCTGTGAGTTCTGTGTGGCCACTGCAGCGAATTATCGAACCCAGGAGAGAGGTGGTGGGTGCTTTGGGAGGAACAGTTGGTGAAAGAGCTGGAGGAAGGCAACATGTCTGGCATTATAGGAATAGCCCTTGGGTTATTGATGGTGATTCTGTCTTCCTCTTGTGGGATTAGAGGAGGTCAGAACATGTGGCCTCCTTGTCGTTTTTGCATTTACTTTCCAGGACAGGCCTAGGAGGTGAACAATTACACCAGGTAGGTACACTCCTTAGAAAAATCAACCACGGGAGATAAGAAGGGCAGCATTTGGGCAAGGAGAAGGCTCAAAATGCAGGAATGCATGAGAAAGAAGGACACAGGGAAAAGGGAACCACAGGGAGGAAGCAGGAAGAGAGCTGTTGCAACGTGGGGATTGCAATCAATGTCCCGAAACAAAATGTGCATGAACTATTAAATGGGAAATTAAATGGGAAATGAATTTGCTCTATAAATTTTCACCTAAATCATAATTTAAAAAGGAGAAAACCCTATGGAGTACAGCTCTACCCTGACACATGTGGGATGGCCATGAGTCATGAGTCGAGGACAACTGGTTGCCCACTGGGGACTTGACAATTCCTAATGGCCAAAAAAATTGCTCCCCAAGGTTTCATACCATAACTACTGCCTCCTAGTTTCTTCCAACAAAACATTAGATGGCTTCAAAAAAGAAAAAGAGAGAGAATATAATCAAATTGAAAAAATAAAAGATAAAGGATTTCAACAGACATTTCACCAAAAAAAGGTACAACGCAGGCAAATAAGCACAAGAAAAGATATTCCATACCACTAGTCATGAGGCAAATGCAAATTAAAACCACAATGAAAAACCATCAGAATAGCTTAAAAAAGAAAACTGCTAATACCAAGTCCTGACAAGGATGCAGAGGAATTTGAACTCTCATTTATTGCCTCATGGAAATGCAAAATGGTATAGTCACTTTGTTTAGTTTATTATAAAGTTAAGAATATCTTTATAACACAACCCAGCAATTCCTACCAACTATAATCCTATGTATCTACCCATGAGAAATGAAAACAAATCTACATGAAAACTTGTACATCAATGCTTAGCAGTTTTATTCATGAGCACCAAAAATTGGAAACAACATTGGGGAGGGGGAAACACACCAAGACTTAGCAATCTCAAACACCAAATTATTTCACAATTTCTGTGGGATAGTCACTCAGGAGCAGCTTTGCTAGATAGTTCTAGCTCAGGGTCTCTCATGAGTTTGCAGTCAAGATGTCAGTTGTGGCAGCAGCCATCTGAAGGCTTGGCTGGGACTGGAGGATCTGCTTCTAAGATGGTTTGCTCACATGGCTGTTGACAAGAGGCCTCATTTCTCAATATTTACAGGAGACCTCAGATCCTTACTATAGAAACCTCTCCATAGGGCTGTTTATTTCCTCACAAAATGCGAGCTGACTTATCTCAGAGTGTGATCCAAACAAGACCAAAGCAGAAGCCAAAATGTCTTTATAACCTAGTCTCAGAAATCACATACTATCACTACTCAGAGACCAACTGTGATACAAAATGAGAGACCTCTACAGAAGGACATGAATACCAGGAGACAGGGACCATTTTGAACCTGGATGTCACAAACCCAAATGTTCATTAATTGACTGATGAATGGATATACAAACTGTGGTATATTCATACAGCAGAACAGTTTGTTGTTGTTGTTATGTGCCATCAAGTCGGACCCAACTCATAGTGACCCCTCCTTGGGCTTCCGAGGCACTATCACTACGGAAGTAGATTGCCCCATCTTCCTTCCGAGGAGTGGCTGGTGGGTTTGAACCGCCAGTCTTCTGGTTAGCAGTCAAGTGCCTTTAGCTACTATGCTACCAGAGCTCCCAAGCAGAATAGTAGTAACCAGCAATAAAAAGCAACAAACTATGATATGTACAACAGCATGGAAGAGCAAGAATTGCATTATGCTAAGTGAAATAAACCAGACCCAAAAGGCTATATGAGCCCATTTATATGATATTCTGGAAAAGGCAAAAGCAAATGGATATGGAACAGATCTCGGGTTGCCAGGGCTTGGGTAGAAAAGACTGACTACAAAAGACATGAGGGGATTTTTGGGTTGATGGAAATATTCTATATTTGATTGTAACAGTACTTTGATCCTGTGTTTATTAAAATGCATAGAACACTACACCTAAAAAGGCTGGGTTTTATTGTATGTAAATTATACCTCAATAAACCAAGTCATAGAAAGAGAAAGAAGAAAATCTTGAGAGGCAAGATGTTATGGTTACCGACTGCCGCTCTGACAGGAATATACCACAAATAGGATGGCCTTAACAAACAGGAGTTTATTCTTACAATTTTTGTAGGCTAGAAGTCTGAGTTCCAAGTGCCAAGCTCTAGGGGCTGTATGAAAGCCCCTCGACCTTGGGCTTCAGCTCTGCCTTTTCCTCCCATCCCTGAAGCTAGAGGCATCTCTTCCCTCAGGCAGCTACTGGCTGCTAAGGCTAACAAGCCCAAGGTCAACAAATAAAATGGCACAGTTACCCAACAACATGGCAGGCCATTGATTCAAGTCCACTGAAAGTCCCAAGATCGACAGACCATGGCAGGCTGTGGAATGACGACTCAGCTACATGCAGGGCTCAAGCATGCCATAAGCTAAAGACCATTCACAAAGCTGCTTCCTATTTACGGGAAGCAGACCATATCCCTGGGAGCTCTGGTAGCATAGTGGCTAAAGCACTTGACTGCTAACCAGAAGGCTGGCGGTTCAAACCCACCATCCTCGGAAAGAAGGTTGGGCAATCCTACTTCTGTAGTGATACTGCCTCGGAAACCCAAGGAGGGGTCGCTATGAGTTGGGGCCGACTCGACGGCACATAACAACAACAACAACAGACCATATCCCTAAAGTAGCTACTCAGCTGCTTGTGGTAGATCCCACCATGGAGTTGACTGCCATTCTCATCATGGGGAATAATGACCACCAGCTGCCCAGCTACTCAACCAGGCCAGCCAAGATGACACACAACATTAACTACCACAGAAGGGAAGAGGTCTGGTTGGAGTCTCAGTGTATAAATAACAGAATTGTCTGGAGGTGAGGCAATCATTTAAAAAATTACAAAAGTCTTTCAATCTGAAGAATTCTCTGATCTTGCATCTAAAGATTGAAAGTACCCATCAAATTCTGAGAAAGATAGATTAAAAAGATACAAATATATCCTGGCTGTTTTAGTTTCCTAAGGCTACCATAACTAATTACCAAAAACTGGGTGGCTTAAAGTTGTCCCTGGGTGGAGCAAACAGTTAAGCACTACTAACCAGAAGGCTGGCAGCTTGAATCCATCCACAGAAGTTCAAAAGGAAGGCCGGGCAATCTACTTCCAAAAGGTCACAGCCATCAAAAACTCTACTGAGCATGGTTCTACCCTGACACACACGGGGTGTCACCATGAGTTGGAATCAACTTGACACCAACTGAAATGGTTTAAAACAAAAGAAATTTATTATCTCACTGTTCTGGATGCTAGAAGTCTGAAATCAAGATCTTAGCACAGTTACACATCCCCTGACAGCTCTAGGAAAGAACTCTTTGCTTCTTCTAGTCCTGGCATTCCTTGGATTTGCCAGCATAACTCTAATCTCTCCTTCTGTTTCACATGGCCATTTTCCCTGTCTCCTCTGTGGCTGTCTCCAAAGTTCTCTCTCCTTGTAATGACACTAGTTATTGGTTTAGGAACCACCTCTATAGATTTGCAAAGTCTCTCTTTTCAAATAAGGTCACATTTACAGATACCAAAGGTTTAGGGCTTCACTAGAGCTTTTTGGAGGTCACAATTGAGCCACAACACTGGCACGTTCTGCCAAAAGTCTTAAACTCCAAGAATAAAGAGAAAATTTCAGAGGCCTCCAGAAAGATAAGACAAGCTACTTAGAAAAAGAGTCATCAGCCTTCTTACCTGCAACACAGGAAAAGAAGGCTCTTTATTTTTCACTTTTTGAGAGAAAAGAATTGTCACTGAAGATTTCTATACCAATCAAGAGTAAAAGAAAGTTATTTTGGGGTATGTAATCATTCAAAAAATGTAATACCCACTTATCATATCTAGGGAAAACTGCCAACAAAAAGATTCTAACTGAATCATGGCAGAAATAGAGGAGGAAAAAGAAACCTTTTGATATGTGATGTTAAATCTAAACGGATATTAGTAAAATATTTGGGCAGAGACATACCATAAATGAAAACCTAATTTATTAGAATTAAATTAAGGAACAACAACAAAAAATACATATTAAAGTCAGCGTAGTGTACAAGGAAACTGTAAGTAGTTGTTACACTCTTTTTAGTTTCTTTTTTTACCTGGTTTACAAGATGAAAGTGACCAAACAGCTTGTGATCCAATTTCCCGTACTGTCCCAGTCCTTTCCAACTGCTTAGGGTCAGCACCAGGAGGTGTCTTGTTTGGTGTGGTCATTTTGAAAATATACTACATGGAAAAAAAAAAAAAGGATACACATGTTATTCCATGATTGAAGCATAAAGGTAAAAATATAATAGCAAAGTGGAAAACTCATCCATCCTTGACATTCTAATGTTAATCATCTATTTCTAAAAATCAGTTAACATAATCAATGGAATTTAAAAATATTGGAATTCAGAGGTTCCGGCAAGATGGCGGACTAGGCAGAAGGA